ATTCTAGAGCTGTGCACAAATGATCCCTTGAAAGTCTCCATCCTGTTGTGGACAGAAAAATGGAGCGGAGGGAACTATTTCACCAAATTTATCTAATGGATAGGCCCCACTATTAGCCATGACAGTAGCATAGCTTCTCCCCCCCGCCCCGAGTTTTTGTTGTTGCTGCTACAGCAGACAACTGTGTTGTTTTGCATTCTCCACAATGCCCTGGACCTGCATCATTTTGTAGCCACTGCCACAAAAAATGGTGGAAAATATTCAAAGCTATCACTGCAGATCCATTTTCTAGTGGGTGGTGGTGAGAAAAAGAAAAATCACACCATTTCATGTGCCAAAATCACATGTGCCGGCTAAAATAAAACAATGAAGCCTCTTTTTTTCCAATTGTCTAAGCTGTTACAGTTACCTGGCTTCTTAAATCTAGATAGAATGTGTCTAATATCTCTAAGAAGGTCTTCCCAGAGAGTGGACAGGTTCGCTGTCCTTGAAAAATAACACTTAGTAGTGTTTGGGGAAAGATATACTAAATCAGAGAAGGGAGTTGTTGGAAGATTCTTCTCCTTTAGTAGAATTCATGTCTCACTTTCCATCGTCTGGGGCTGAAAATTCTTCCCCAACTTCAGTCATGCTCAAATTGAGCCATTGTTAAGGTGGTTCTACCTAGGTGACACAATATTAGTGTAAGTACGGCGCTATAGATGTGAAAAAAGATGGCTTGGGACATTGAAGATGTAGGTTTGTAAGCAAGTTGAATATTTGCAGCTGGGCACATATTTTGCAGTTTCCATATTAATACCCACATTCTGAGTGTTTTTTGCTCATTCCCTCCCCTTGCAGGAGTCAACAAAAATTGCAGAAAACTATGAAGTTAGGGAAACATCACCTACATTTCGAATCTAATCTGGGGATGACATAAGTAAACACTCTGTCCTGATCTGATATGCAGACACTTAGAAAATGTATTGCACCCAGCTTCCTTGGAAAAGCTGCTCTTTGGGAATTGGATGGACAATATAAGAAATGTATAATCTTTTCATTTGTATGCCTGATTTTCTTTATTGGCATTACTCGAGGTAAATTTAGAAATAGTGCAGTAGCCAAGTGGGCAATTTGCCAACTGCTTTCACAAGGGGAAAATAATACACAGGATCATAAGCAAAACAACTCTTCATTATGATTCATGGATAATTTTGGGACACTTTAGCAACCAATTCATCCTAATTAGCCAATTAAATGCAGGAACCTATGTGCAACCCTGAACCATGGAGTTATCAATGCATTGAAATAATGAAAGACTGTCCTGGAAGAGAGATTGCTTGTTCTTGAGAGTCATCTGTAATATGCTAGGACTCAAGAAACACTCACATAATCACTGTGAATGTGCAGCTTCTTTAACGACCTTGGCACCTGCTTAAATGTCTCCCAGTGAAATAAATGGAACTGATATACACACTTCTCTGAATATTCGTGTTATTTCAGAGTTGTTCAGCAATGGCACCATTTTTATTCCCATACTGCTGCATCTTTCCAGCACTTCTTTTCTGAACTTCATATTCTTAGCCTCATTTGACCTCACTTCTTTTTAGGCTGTGGGGTTGATGCAAGCGGCTTTTCTTCACACTTGCCTTTGGGGTCATCACATCAGTTGTAGCACAATGTTGTCATTGACGAAATAATGTCACCAATCGTATTAAAGGGCCAGTGAGGGTAAATGAGTCTAAGGACAGTGTGGTCAAAGATGCAAAAGAAGAGCACATGGAAGAGGCATGATGTAAGCCTGTTTGGCTCACTGTGCCTCTGTTGTACCAGCAGTTCTTCAAATCATGCTGGTAAAACCAACATTGTCCTGCATACAGAAGTTGTTATAAAGTCTCCAGAAGCATCACCAATAGGGGGAAAGTATTATTTGTTTAATAACACAGCTCAGCTTGCCGCTTTGTCAATGGAATCGTGCACATGAAATAGTCCCTCCAAATGCTCAGGAACACAGCAGAGTTCTTCCTTTTTGGCTATAGTTTTAAGAGCATTCAGAGCACATTTCTGCCAGCACACCAGCAGGTTTCAGCAAGAGAACACACAATTGTAGTTAATTGATCATTTCCACAGAGAAGAAATTTAGAAAGACTTTCTAATTCGTGTCTTTCTTTGACCGCTTTTAAACATCTAACAAAAGGCGTTCCTTTTCTTTTCGCTTGGGTTCTTCTTATTTCTATTTTAAATGATCTTCCCTGTCTGCAGTTACTTCTATTCGAGAGAGAAAGAAGACGATACAAAGTACGTTCTGATTTGGTATGCTTAATCTTCAACATTGTGAAACCATTCACAGATTTGCAATTATATGCTAAATGGGCACCAAGGTCATTTTGTACTCATCTGTGACTTTCTAATGAAAGGCACAGATGTCATTAAAAGCACAGTTCATTCTTTTTTTAAAAGCACGTCTTTGAACACACATTTATTCATGGGCTTCAGAAAATGTATATATAACACATTTGGTTGCCACTTTGCTTGAGCCAAATTACTTGTGCTCAGTGGTGTTTCTCTCTTTATATATTTGTTAGTTACAAAACCAAACCAAGATCCATATAAACCCAATAAAATCCAAGGGGTTAGAAGGTGAGCCACTGCAACAGCTGATGAATGCTGTGAGAGCCAGGAATTGGCTCCATGGATGGTTCAAGAGCATTGTCATACACTAGCAGTTGTCTCCAGTTTTTGCTATAAGTAGCATGCTGTTGAGTGGCACATGTCACCCTGGAGTAAGAGCAGTGAGGAATGATAACCTTTCCAAACCCCATAGCATAGCGCAAAGACACTGGAAAATGTCTCTCTGTGTGTGACTTTCTTACAGGACAGCAGAGTTGATAACAAAGGTTGTCTATCCACAGAATTTCCCATTCAGTTAAATGGGAGTGTAAACCGAGCTGAGTCCACCACTGAAATGAATGGAAAAATCTACTTACATAGGCCTTAAGTGAGCACATCAGGATATTACATTTCAGGAATTCAGAACAATGAACTCACATCCCATTGGTTCCAATTGCATTTAAGTGACTGTGTCTTTATGATAGAGCAAATCTCTCTCTCTCTCTCTCTCTCTCTTTTAGGTATTTCTATACTGCCTTTTACCAAATAGTCACAGGACTTTCTTTTAAAAAAGCCATAAATACATAATATAAAATACTAAAGCAGCAAGGTCAAACAAGACTAATATTAATGAACCCTTAGCAAATGAGATGTGGAAGAAAGGGATGTGGTGGTGTGAAGAGAGAATACATAGCGATGGCAAAGGGCAAGATTCCTTTGTAGGGGATTTTTGGGGGTTATTTAAAGGTTGGCTTGTGGGGTGCACTTTTTTTGCTAACTCTGTTCTATTGAAAGGAGGCCTGCTGTTATGTCATTTGGCTGACTGGTTCATTCTTCTGGTCAGACTTAAGAGTGAGACCAGTGAGAACCCTGAGGTAACCCAACTATCTGTCCACCAGCCAACTCAAAGGGATGGGGGGAAGGGAGCTGCCCTTTGGCCCTCAATGCTGTAGTCCACTGAATGCTGGCCAGTGGGTCTAGGGTAGGGAAGCCAGGTGACCTTGTAGTTCACCTGCTTGTAGGCTTCCCACAGACATTTGGTTGGCCACCGTGGGAGGTAAAGATAAAGGAAAAGGACCCCTGGATGATTAAGTCCTGGAGAAAAAGGATGCTGGTCTAGATGGGACTTGATCCAACAGGCTCTTCTTATGTTCTCACTATTAGGTGAGCAGGCAATGATCCAGTGATCCAGAATCATTGATCCAGTGCATAGAGCTGGGGTGGGTGGATTTTGTCCAAAGGAAAGTGGATCCATCTCCATTGTTCATTAGATTGTATCTTTCTAACCACACGTATGTGGGCAATGTTATTGCTCATTGCAGATCCTTCTAGTCAATAAAGTGTGACCCTTACCCCCCATCTGGTCTCTTGCCTCAATTTGGGTGGGCGTGTTGCTATCTAATCTATCTATCCATCCATCTTATTTTTGCAAAGTTCCCACAGGACCCACTACATGCCTAGTTTCCCAATCCCATCCAAACCAAAATGTTTATTCGGCTTTACGCCCATCATAAAGCACAACACACAAAACAAATCAAATAAAACAGCGGTCTCGAACAAGCCACAAGTAATATAACACAATTCACAGCTCACAAGGACAAATATTGGCAAATCAAAACAGAAATTTAAGATTAAAGTTAAAAATTTGGGCACTACGCTAAATCAATTTCTGATGTCAATATCAAAAATTCTTATAAGTATCAATAATCAGTTAACATTCCATTCCGTCTCTTGTACGAGAGAACGGCTGTTAGGAATTTAGCAACCTGTAGAGTAATATAAGGATCTACATCTTGAAGAACCCAGGCAAGCTGTAGGTCTACTGGTTTGTCAGCCATAGGCTGGATTATGGAGTTTAGTATACTAGCGCGAGCTAAACTGTACATAGGGCAGATAAACATAACATGATGTAAAGATTCAGATGTTTTCATTTCACAAGCACACATTGAAGGGACTTGGCCCTTAGTGAATCTATGTCTCAGCACGTTTGTTGGGAAAACATTGAACCTGGCTCTAATGAAGGCATATCGGTGAGATGCGGCTATAAGCGATGTTAAGTAGGACGGAGCACGATAGATAGGGGTTATGCCGAGATTTAACGGGGAGCAGGCTCCACCACCAGCTAAGAAATTTTGGTATAGCTCCACATCATCCAGCCTTTGATTTATACACCTTTTTGCCGCGTTTAGATCCAGTTTGAGCAATTCCGTGGGCGAGATCTCATAGGACAGCAATTTGGCATGGATTTTTCCTGACCACAAATTTGTAAAGTCATCCCGCCACATGCATTGAATGAGATAGTGGTTCGGTAGTTTATGCCATAGGGATATCCAATAAATCAAAACTCTCCTCCATAAAACTAACTCCACTGAGGGGATCTTCATTTCTAAGCGAATAGCCGCATTACTTACGCATGTTGGTAGTTTTAAAAGTCGGCGTAAGAATTGGCTTTGAAGCGACTCTAAAGGTGAAAGGTTTGCAAAGGCAGCCCATAAAGGTGCAGCATAGGCCATTGTGGCCATCACTTTGATGCTATACACTTTCAAGGCCGCAGGAATGAATAAGGCCCCCTCAGAGTAGAAAAAACGGAGGAGGGAGTGTGATAGGGCTTTTGTCTTGTTTTGAAGATATTCAACGTGCTCTTTCCACCCTAGATTATATTGAAAATAAATTCCTAAATATTTAAATTTATGTACTTGTTCAATTTTCGTGCCCTCCAATTTCCATGAATATAATTTTCGACTCCTTGAAAATATCAGTACTTTGGACTTGGTGTGGTTGATAGACAGATGATTAGAATGGCAATATGATGCAAAAATCTTTAGTGCCCTCCTTAAACCCACTCTGGAGTAAGAGAGTAGTACCGCATCATCTGCGTAGAGAAGTAAAGGACAACGATAATCTGCTATACGGGGGGTGTGGATAAATTTTTGTGAGTCGATTAATGGGTTCCTCATATCACTGATAAATAAGTTAAAAAGAAGAGGCGCTAAAATACAACCCTGGCGTACACCCTTATTTACTGGCACTGGGTTAGTTAGGTCTCCAGCAGGGGATATTCTTACCCTGGCCACGGACCCGGCATGAAGTTGGGAGATAAGCCACAGGAGCCTTCTATCTATTCCCCAGCAGGCAAGTTTATCCCATAGTAATTGCCTCGGAATACTATCAAACGCAGCTTTCAAATCTATGAAGGCTGCGCAAAGTTGGCCCCGTCGAGGTGTCGAGTATTTCCGGGCTAAGTGATAAAGAATAATTGCCTGATCTGTTGTGGATCGGTTTAATCTAAATCCAGCTTGCTCATGCCCAATCAGGTCAGCCTCAGCTGACCACTTCATCAGCCTTGCCAGCAAAAAACGGGCATATATTTTCCCAATGGACGATAGCAGACTGATATTCCGGTAATTCCCTGGGTCACCGGGAGAACCTTTTTTGTAGATAGGAATTATAATGGCCTCCTTCCACGTACCTGGTATTAAGCCCGTGGCATTTATTGCGTCAAACGTTTTAGCTAAAATCCCTGCCCACCATGCAGAATGTAGCTTTATAGCCTCAACAGGGACCAAATCTGGCCCAGGGGCCTTACCAGTTTTCAACTCAGCTATCAATTCTAGGATTTCAGCAGGGTCGGTATTGTGCCAGACGGGAAGGGGATTAGAAGGTCTCCAGCGAGTGGCCGGAGCTTCTGCCACTGAGAAATATTTTCTCAGGAACTGCTCCCATGTAGGGGCCGGGATCACCGTTAAGGGGTATTTCGTGTTTCTTCCCTTTATTAAGGACCAAAATTTCCGGGAGTTATGAGATTTTGCGGTAGAAATTATAGTCTGCCAGCGATTTAAATGCCATTCCCGTTTGGCCGATTTCTGGGCCTGTTTGTATGCATTTTTAGCCAGGGAATACGATGGAGGTAAGGCCAGAGCGCCGGAAAGTTTATAGTCATTATATATTGTATGTAGATGGAGTCTGGCTAGTTTACAAGCAGAGTTGAGCCAAATTTAAAATAATCGTTTTTAACTCCATAGCTTGGAGAAGTAAAAAAGCGAGTTAAAACTTCTATCAGGTAAGAGAAAAAATTCAAACAGGTAATAGGATCACGCGGGACTATTCCTACGTCCGGCTGATCACCAAGAAACTTTTCTCGGATAAAATCCATATATCTATGGGCGAGGGCAGGGGACCATCT